AAGCTCCCTCACAGAACGTTATTATGTGAACTGGTTATGAATTCACTGTCTGGTGCCTGAGATATTGTTTTATGATAGTTTTATGATCGTTATAGTCCCCAAAGAAAACTCTTTTTTTCCAGGTTTGCCACTATTTTCCATCATCAACAGTCCATATAAACTCAGAAGACTCGTGTAGGTTCACTGGTGGTTTTGGATAGTAAATGAAATGTCTATATTTGTATTGTAGTCATGGTGACCCCTGGTTCCTATTACCACCACTGTGAAGACATCTGAGTCTCTACAATCAACAATTTCACACCAAACCACTCAGAATGACTCTGTTTACATCTCAAACACTGAATTATTCAGACATTTTGAAAAATCGGTGGAGTCCCAATTGAAGGTGGGCTGGTCATGTCATGTCATGTAACCCCCAGTATGAACACAACACTCCAGCCCTGCACTGCCACACTCATCACAAACAGCATTTTTCATTCTTAACCCGTCTGTGCCTGAATGTTCCCTGTGATTTTATACTCATTGACATACTACCAGGGACAAATTCAAACAGGGTCAACACTGAATACACTGGTATACAAACTAAAGCTGCCACATGGCTTAAAATTATAGTTTAATATTTAGGTGTCATGACGTCTTTTCACTTTTACAGATTTAACATGCAACATGTCCAATGCACTTTTTATTTTGTATCTGAATGACTCTGTTTACATCTTAACCAATGAATCTCCCAGTAATTTTGAAAAATCGTTGGAATTCCCCTTTGAGTAAAATGTAAGAGTAAATGCACAAAGCAGTCAGTCCAGTTAATTAGAAACTCACTCAAATAAATTTAATGCAATTTACTTGAATTCATGAACGTACAGATTCCTCAGTCAAGTCTCTTAGAAGCTACTTAACACCTTTTTGTGGAACCACATGACATTTTTAAGTAAATTTAACCTGTAATTTTTTTAGAGAGCTCAGCACGCCAAAATGACCAAACAAAAGCAACCATGAGTTCTGATGTGAAAGATGTCATTAGCTTTAATGAGCACATTTTCAAACCTTAACATGCATTTTTTTGTCTGACTGACTCGACAGTTTCTGTCGCCCCCCTCTGGTGACAGAAACTGTCATACTGAATATGTAACTGTACAATACCAAGTTTTAAATTAACAAAAAAAATCGATAATTTTGTCCTAGATTGTTGAATTCTCACTCTCAGCCCCTCCAATATACAAGATTTTCACCAATACTGATGTCACGTGTCCCTCCGGCTCCAACTCACACAAGAACTCCATTTCCCAGAGTCCCCTGGGAGATCATGTGACTGTTACACTTCTGTAATCCACCATTCACAGTCATCTGAATACTGATCTGTTGTACCTGCTCTGTTTGCCATGTGACCAGTCTTAGTTTAGTTAAAAGCCCAGGCTTGGGGTCAGTTACTTTGTGAGCTGTTGCTTCTCTTGGTGAGTTACTGATGGTTTCCTGTTTGATATTCTTGCCTTATTTTGCACTTGACCCCATTTCTGGATTTTCCGACTTTGCCTTTTTGGCTTTGCCCTTTTTGGATCTGGTTGCTCTTGTTATGTTTGTCCTTTTCTGTCTTTTGTCTTTTTTGGATCTGACCTATGCCTGTTCACTGACTATGATTTCAGCCATATCCTTTACAATTAAAGCCTCATTGCTTGTTTTGTGCATCAAGCGTCTGGCTGGTTCTGTCACGTTACAACTAATCAATAAAACTTTAATTTCAGCTGATTTTATTAACCAACCGGTCAGTCAGAACCTACTAAAAGGGCTAGAATTCCAATATGGTTCATCAGATCATTTGAGACCTCAACATCGGGCCGTGTCCCAATTCAGGGACTGCGTCCTTCGGGGTCTGCATTTGAAGGCCAATTGTGTCACAGCAGCGCGTCTAGGCCGTCCCTTTTCGAATATGCGGCCAGCCAACATATTCTGAGGTTCATTGCGTGCCGGTGAGGATTCGAGAACATGGCAGCGTCCGCAGAGGAGGCTTAGCTTCAGACCACATTGGCTTTGAAAAAAGCCAATGTGGTCTGAAGCTAAACTTACACTAACGTTTCATTTTGTTTTAGGGAGCAAGGAGCCGACAGAGAGAAGCACCTCCAGCTCTAATAAATGAAAAAATAAAAACTAAAATCAAAGTTTCTGGTTCTGTCTTTAAAGAACTTTTAAAGAACTTGACAGGAGCGGCGTTTCGTAACAGGGAACAGTGGTGCTGTGACACAAACAGGAAATCTGCCGTAGAGCAGACCGTCTTATTTCGGTGCAGCCTTCGAAGGACAAGCCTTCATAGACCACGTCCTTCGAAGGATGCAGCCCCTGATTTGAGACACAGCTGTTAACACTCAATAAAGCTGTTAATACTTAATATAGAAGTGAATATGATAAAATTAAAACTGACCGTCTACTCATGGACACTGTTTCATTTTATGTGCTGGTAGACAGATTTGACACACTGTCCGATTACTTACGGACTGCACTGTACCTTATATCAGCCTTATAGCGGCAGCTTGGGCCATCACTCCATATATTAAAGGTCTCTTCTCTCCTGAGGAGCAGATCTGAGCCACCAGAGAGAACGAGCGCTTCCTCAGTCGTCTTCCTCAGGAGCTGACCTTTAAGCTCTATTCGGTGCAGATGTCACTGTGATGCCTGATCTGACAGACACACACCCTAAACACACACACTCTGAGACACACCTCTGTCTCAGACCCCCCTGTGGCCTCTCTCGCTTGCACGAAGCCGCTTTTGACACTCTGCTATCACTTTGGTGTATGATTTATTAATCTGTTTTGTTGCTTGAGAACATTTTGTTTGTTTTTTGAGGTTTTTGTACCAGTTTTTAAAATTATTATATTCTAAAAAAATCCTAAATCACTGATTCCGCACTGAAATATTTAGCTGAAACGCCGCATGAAAGATTGAAGTGTATTTGTCTTAATCTGTCTTCACTCATCATTAGGGCTACTAACAAATACGTCTGTAATTAATTAATCTGTAGTTTATTACATGTTTAGTCAATTAATTGAACCATTATTGAACCAGTGAGTGTCATAACCCCTTTAAGGGTTAAGATTAATAACTGAGTAATAAGCCAATAGTTCAAGAGATTAAATAAAGTAGCGCATGAATTTTTTCTGTCATCTATAGATTATTATTTGATTAGTCAACTAATCAAACCATTATTGAACCAATGCACATAATAGCCCTGTTAAGGATTAATAACTGAGTAATGAGCCAATAGTTTAAGAGATTAAATATATGGTGCCTTAATTTTCTTCATGATCTACAACCCCATTTCCAAAAAAGTTGGGACGCTGTGCAGAATTTAAATAAAAATAGGATGCAAATCATGTAAACCATATTTTTACAGGAAAATACTACAAATACAATAAATCAAATGTTGAAACTGAGAATTTTTTTGTTTTTTGAAAAATATATGCCCATTTTGAATTTGATGCCAACAAACACATTCCAAAAAAGTTGGGATGGGGGCCTGTTTACCACTGTGCTTCATCACCTCTTCTTCTAACAACACTCTGTAAGCGTTTGGGAACTGAGGAGACGCTGCTGCAGTTTAGAAAGTGAAATGTTTTCCTGTTCTTGTTTGATACAGGATTTCAGCTGTTCAACAGTTCTGGATCTCTTTTGTCATTTTTTATTTCATAATACGCCAAATGTTTTCAGTGGTGACAGGTCTGGACTGCAGGCAGGTCAGTTTAGCTCCTGGACTCTTTTAATACGGAGCAATGCTGGTGTAATACATGCAGAATGTGGGTTGACATTGTCTTGCTGAAATAATCAAGGCCTTCCCTGAAAAAGACGTCGTCTAGATGGCAGCATATGTTGCCAAGACATGTATATATCATTCAGCATTAATGGTGCCTTCACAGATGTGCACGTCACCCATGCCATGTGCACTAATGCCCCCCATACCATCATGAATACTGGCTTTTGAACTGTTCACTGATGAAAAGCAGAAGTTCTTTGCTGTTTTATTTTGAGAAACGTTATTCTTGAATTGTTGCACTATTTGCCCACACAGTCTTTCACAGAGTGGTGAATCCCTCATCTTTACTTCTGAAAGCCTCTCTGAGATGCTCTTTTTACATCCAATCATGTTACTGACCTGTTGCCAATCAACCACAGTGTTTTTTTTTTTAGCATTACACAACTTTACCAGCCTTTTGTTGACTCCGTCCCAACTTTTTGGAACGTGTTGTTAGCATCAAATTCAAAACGGGCAAATATTTTTCAAAAAACAATAAAATTTCTCAGGTTTAATATTTGATATGTCGTCTTTGTACTATTTTTAATAAAATATAGGGTTCAAATGATTTGCACATCATTGTATTTTGTTTTTATTTACATTTTGCACAGCGTCCCAACTTTTTGGAAATTGGGTTGTACACTTGGGGTTTAGGGTTTGGGACAGACGCTTAGAAAGTGCCTAGAAATTATGATTTTATATATATTTAGCCTATTACTGTCTCTATAAATGTCTTGTGAAACACCTGGACAGGTCACCAGTCCATCGCAGGGAAGACATATATACATGTGTATATATATGACATTTTTCTGATCTGGGACATAATAAAAGCTCATAGCGAATGCTAAGCATTAATTATAATGATGACAAAGGTTAATCATTGTGCTACTGTTGTCTAATTATTAAGATTATAAAGATTATTTAGCTTCTATCTGTCTTCCATCTTGGTCTGAGTGTGTGATTTGGACTCTAAGGCCTTTCGTCACCCTCACTGTGGGACCTAAAGGCGAGATAGTGAAGAGAAATGGAGAAGCGACAACCCATTTCATCTCTCTCTCTCTCTCTCTCTCTCTCTCTCTCTCTCTCTCTGCCTCAGCTTGTCTTCTGATAACTACCTCTCTCTCTCTCTCTCTCTGTCTCTCTCTCTCTTTCTCTCTCTTTCTTTCCCTTCCTCAACACAATCTCCAACCCCTCCCCTCTTTCTCTGGACGGATCGATGGTGGCATGCTGGGGCAGCCCGGTGCGGGTAGGGGGGCGAGGGGGGACGCTGGCCCTTCCTCTCACCCTCATCACCCTCCCTCCCCTCCCGCTGCGCTCCGAGGACAGGCTCTGCTGGGGAAACAATCAACACACTTACCCAGGAGCCAGGCCATTTCCTCCTGCTCCATACACCGTGCCAAACACGCTCGGATCTGCGGGCATCCTGAGGTATGTAGACTGCGCTGCCCACTAATGACATCAAGGAACGGTTACTCAGCCCGGTTCAGCCAAATGCAGTGACCTGTAAGGACCATTATACTGAATTAGTTCAAATTACAGTCTCACAGTAAAATTAAAAAATAATTATGTATGCAAACCACAGATATTTACAAAGATAATGATATGATTTGATTAAAGCCAAGACATTAATAGAGATAGCAATAAACTAAGGTGCTTTCTACTGGGAGTGTCTGTCCCAAACCCTAAGCCCTAAATTTACGCTTGTGAAAATAACAGTCGTAAATATTTATTTATTTATATCAACATTTATTTATATTATTATATATATTTATATCAACAATATCTCAAAGAATTTTATATATGTATATATATATATATATATATATATATATATATATATATATATAATGTGTGTGTGTGTGTGTGTGTATGTAAAATAATTTTTCAATGTTTTCTTTTTAAGATTTTTTTTGAAAGAATTGAAAGACTTTTTAAAAAAAAATTTTTTTAAATATAAAAAACCTCATAAATGCTGTTTCGCGTTTTCATGTCATTTCCAAAACACAGATTTTTTGTCTGCAGACGGAGGCTTATTTTAGCCACGCCCCTGCTTTTAAGAGCAGGAAGTGAGACTGCATCCCTGTCCCTCATGGCCACATGTTGAGCAATTAGATCCCATTGTTTTGAAGTAAATGTGTCCCAAAGTCTGAAAATCAGTGTGGAACATGAAGAATTGTCACTACCGAAACACATACTTTCTGCAGTTCAGTAAACTTTTTGTGTTTTAATGAAAAATATGATGATTTTATGTGTGAACAGCTGTTCGAAGGTGTGTTTGCTGGTCATATACTGGCTATTATTTTTGAGTTTTGCAGAAAATGAGCTAAAATTGTCACCACCGAAACAGTCACTACTGAAACATTTAATAAAGTTTTGGTAGGGTTATGATTGTTTTATTGGTGACAAAATGGAATGTGCAATTATTTGTTTTAATAAAATAAACGTAATTCAGATATAGGCTCACTCAAAGCAAAAGGATTATAGTCTAAAGTCCAAGATCAGTTAAAGGTCCTAAATGGGTTTTGAACTCTGATTTTAAGCCAGTTCAGTAGAATTCAATATTGGAATTTAATATAATTCCATATATATTATAGAGACAGCAGTACCAATACAATTTCTTCTTTGCCAATGCCAGTACTAAAACCTTCATTATCAGCTTAGATCGATGCTGATCTGATATTTTTAATTAAAAAATTCACTCACTCACTCTCTCATGTTTAGCAGGCTGAAGATCTTCCACAAGGGGGCGCAATTAACACTCATGTAGTTTTAGTTTTCCATAAAAGTAGTGCTCATATTTTATATTGCGACCTTTTTTTGTAAAAACAAAAAGCCATCTAAGATTGTGACATTACAGTGATTTTTATTTAGCTTTGCATTGTCCCTAACAACACCCCTTAAAATCAGAGTAATGCATGGCCTCATGTGGCTTATTGCTTTATAACACACTTCTATAACGTAGGAATAACTCAGCACGGCCAGTTTGCATTGTTTTGTGTGTAGTTACTGAATAAAAGACAAGGCAAGTTTATTTATATAGCACCTTTCATATCCCGCTGTCATTCAAAGTGCTTTACAAATGAGAAAATACAGAGTTGCTTAAAAAAAACGAGAATAGAAATTAAAAACATGATTGAAACATGATTAAAACAATCGATTGAAATGAGAAAATCATTAAACTAAGAATAAAATTAGAAATCAAATTAAGATGATTGTAAAAAAATGTATTAATTATTTTTTTTTATAGTTTGAAACAAATCGTTATAAACCTTAGGTGTTTATGCTGGAATCATTTACTTGCACATGTATCTGCAACAGAATTGGCTTTATATGATTGAAATGAGTGATTTCAATTGAGTGAATGGTGTATAAGTGTGATCACCATGTGAGAATGAAAATATCAGCCTATTTATTCCTTAAATAATACCCTTTGAAATGCCTGAGATACCAGTGATGTAGATATAGATGAACATTAATCGAGTCCACCGTTATTGATATGGTCGCTATGACTTGGACGAATGGAGCTATAGTTATTGCCCTGCACGCTTGTGCACTCTACTATCCTCTTTGATTAAGAGAGCTGTTTTATATGCATTAGACCAAAGCATAAATCACAAACACAGCGGGGGCGAGGATGCTAATTTCCCCTGAAAAGAGGACTAATACGCCTCATAATTCTCGTGTAATGTGTGAATCGGGCCTGAACCGTGCAATTAACTCCCCACGAGGGAAAGACAACGTCTTGATTCACTTGCTCTGCCGTCCTCAGTCATTAGGACGCTCTCACGCGCGCTCCGGCCGGCCCCTCGTCCTTGCTGGCAATTAGTATATATTACGCAGTTAATGAGCAGGGCATGTAAAAGTCAGTGGAGTGGCAAATTCAAGGCAGTTGCTGAATCATAGTTGGTGGATGACGAGGTGGGGGAGCAGCTGACTGCGTTGTTTACCTGTTTTAAGCGTGATTTGGGGCTGAAAGGAGAAGCCATGGAGGAAAAGCATGTATCTCTGAGGAAAACTGAAGAAAAGACGTAGGAATATTCGAAATTTAATTGTGTTCTGTTTCTATTTTTGAGAACATATTTTTAGAATTCAATATCAACAACTAATTCACAACTCATTTTCACACCTTTTGAACACGCTAGATGCCCTGCCACACTTTGTGGGCCGAATATTTCATGATGAATCAATTAATGAAAAACTGTTACTGAGAATACAATAATGTTATATTAAAGGGCCCATATTCTGTATTTTTCTTGTGTTGTTTTTCTTTGTGATGTGTGCCAAAGCAGTCATAATTCATTTTTTTACACGACTGCTTTCGCTCCTATCCTTATCCCTCGGAATTAAACAGGCTGCTTATGTCGCTGTGCCTTTAAGACTCTTATATGTAAATGAGCTCTATTCTGATTGATTCTGTATTGTGCCTCATTCAAAAAGCAGCCTGGACTGAAACACTCCTTACAAGGTCAGCATGAATGGGCAGGGCTAAACTGAAAAGCAGGCTGAAAAGATGGATATATGTGAACCTGTTGGTTTTTGTGACATCACAAAGACAATGAATTTAAAATGGGCTCTTTTTTGCAGTGTGGCTTCCATGTATGGAATGTACAGACTGGAAAGTAAACAGTACACTTCAATGACATTTACATACTACATTAAGCTCTTTTAGTGAGGGAAATTGAGCTTTCCATGATATGAGCCCTTAATGTATGTTAAAGTTAATAGGGAATTCCACTGATTTTTAAAATGTCTGCATAGTTCAATCATTGAGATTTAAATAAAGTCATTCTGAGTGGTGTGATGGAAACAGATTTCCGAAGAGTTTAAGGCCTCTAAAAGCTCCCAGACAGAAAGCTAAAACATAGTCCTGAATACGTTGCCTGATGCCCGAGACATTGTTTTACAATAGTTTGTAATTTTGAGATAAGGTTTTGGCCTGTCTGTCTGTCTGTCTTTCTCTCTATCTATCAAGCTATCTATCAAGCTGTCTGTCTGTCAGTCTGTCTGTCTGCCTGCCTATCTGTCTATCTAGCTGTCTGTCTATCTGTCTATCGGGCTATCTATCTATCTATCTATCTAGCTGTCTGTCCATCTGTCTATCTAACTATCTATCTATATATCCTGTATATCTATCGAGCTATCTATCGAGCTGTCTGTCTTTCTGCCTGTCTGTCTATCTATCAATCTATCTATATATCTATATATCTATCTATCAAGCTGTCTGTCTGTCTGTCTGTCTGTCTATCTATCTATCTAGTCTAGTCTGTCTATCTATCTATCTATCTATCTATCTATCTATCTATCTATCAAGCTATCTATCAAGCTGTCTGTCTATCTATCTATCTATCTATCTATGGAGCTATCTATTGAGCTGTCTGTCTGTCTTTCTGTCTGTCTATCTATCTATCTATCTGAATGTCTGTGTCTATCTACCTATCTATCGAGCTGTCCATCGAGCTGTCTGTCTGTATGTCTGTCTATCTACTGAGCTGTGTGTATGTCTGTCTATCTATCTATCTATCTATCTATCTATCTATCTATCTGAATGACTGTGTCTATCTACCTATCTATCTATCGACCTGTCTGTCTGTCTGTCTGTCTGTCTGTCTGTCTGTCTATCTACCTATCTATCGAGCTGTCCATCGAGCTGTCTGTCTGTCTATCTACTGAGCTGTGTGTCTGTCTGTCTGTCTGTCTCTGTCTGTCTATCTATCTATCCATCTGTCTGTCTGTCTGTCTGTCTGTCTGTCTTTCTGTCTGTCTGTCTGTCTATCTATCTATCTATCTATCTATCTATCTATCTGAATGACTGTGTCTATCTACCTATCTATCTATCGACCTGTCGTCTGTCTGTCTGTCTGTCTGTCTGTCTATCTATCTACTATCGAGCTATCTATCGAGCTGTCTGTCTGTCTGTCCGTCTATCTGTTCTATGTCTGGTAGAGAACAGAAGATGTCTCTGCTGACCATCCCCGACTCTGTGAGTGAGATCTCTAACAGGTGTCTGAGTCCTCTGAGCTGGTGTGGTATTAGTTAAATCAGGTGCCTAAAGGACACTGGTCTTTCATTTATTGAGATTAAGGCATTGCCCCCCCCCTCACCCCCCCCCGTTGGAGATTCTCTAATGCAGTGCTGCCGGACTCGGGATATAATTTTTTTCTTTACAATCTACTTAGAAATGATTTATCGATCGTGGCCTCTCCCTTCATAGAGAATTAGCCAGCCTTTTTGGGAAATCACTTTTTCTCACCTATCGTGTGTGTGTGTGTGTGTGTGTGTGTGTGTGTGTGTGTGTACACATGTGCAAATGGACCCATGCAGTTAACAGGGTGGTAGAACTGACTTTGTGGAGGATGGGTGGGGGGTCATGCTGCTTTGGTCTTTGTCTGTGGTCTGTTTCTTTAATCTGGTGTGTGTGGTATTGACAG